GGCTCCACCATCCCCACCAAGCCCACCATATCTATGCTCGGTATTTCCATCAGCAACACTCTTTCATGGGATAATCATGTCAGATCCATCGCAAAAGCTGCTTCACAAAAACTCGGATTCTTGTTCCGTGCGAAAAGCTACTTTACACCTCAACAGCTTCTCATGATCTACAAAGCGCAGATACGGCCTGTTCTAGAATACTGTTCCCACATATGGGGTTCAGCACCAAAACATACGCTGATGCTCTTAGATTCCATCCAGAGAAGAGCCATTCGCCTGGTGGGTGACGCCACACTCACTCACTCTTTGACATCATTGGAACACCGTAGAAAGGTCGGCGACCTTTCACTTTTCTATCGATACTTCCACGGGAAATGTTCTTCGGAAATCTCTGCTATCATCCCTTCACTAGCAATACCAATCAGACGAACTAGACAAGCCCAGTCAGCACATCCTTTCGTTGTCAACCTCGAAAGATGTCGAACAGCACTTTATCAAGACTCCTTCATCCATAGAACGGCTAGGCGCTGGAATTCATTGCCTGTGGAAGTATTCCCAACAACATATAATCTCCAAAAGTTCAAAAAAAATTCCAATACCTACCTCCTATCCCTATCCTTCCTAGGAACGCACGATGTTCTTTGAACATTATAGGGATTCCCTTTTGTGTGCTCCAAGCGATAAAAAAAAAAAAAAAATACCTGTACTAATTTTCATCATCATAAAATACAGGGTGTCCGAATTTTTTTGCTCATTATTTTTTGGTTGATGAAAAAATTGCTTACCCACCCTTTTTGTTTTCTCAGACACATTGTATATTTGAATGATAATAATCGGGGCTGATATGTTCGAAGTAGTCCTAAATATCCATTTGACATTAGTTCTTCCCAAACATACCACAGTACTACATTTTCTGATCAAGTATACAAAAAATATATCTATTAATCCGATTTTTCGGACACTCTTTGTTTTATGATGATGAAAATCGGTACAGGGTTACATTGAGTGATCTAGGTTCAGAATCTATCATTAGTTTTAGTGAAAAAATAAAATCCCCAATAGTAATTTACGAAATATGGGTCAATAAAATTGGTCGCAGTTGATGGCCACGATAAAAGTTCAAGAATTAAATCACTTTTTTTGTTTGATGGATATTTCAAATACCTATACAAAAAAAAAAGTTTTTCGAAATCGATCAGATAAGATAATACGGATTTTACAGGCGGTGGTAAAGTTCTTAAAGTGGACACACTGTATATATAGCACGTGGTCACAGAACATAACATGCAGTGCACTGTTAAATACCAGAATGTTTGATGTGTATTTTTGACTTTTTTTCAATATAAATAAATAAATTTATTAAATCCTTCATGATCAAAAAATAATACCTTATAATTATAGCCGAGTAAAATAACTATAGAAGTTTTCCACTTATCGATATTTCTTTGTGCTTATATATTCAACAGTATAAAATGTTATTATGGTTTTGAAATCTATGATCTGCATGCTGATAATAATCACACTGTAGATATCCTTGTTTATGAAATTCATATTTCCACTCGAAAGAGCATTTTATGTGAACCAGTTCTCCTTTGTAACAAATCAAGAGTTTCAGTGTTTCAGTTTGAAAGAAAATCATTTTCAAAAATATTCTCAAAAATCGTTATTACTCTGAAACAGTTGAAAATAGTAATGAATTACCTTATATATTTTATGGTTTATATCAGAGTAATATGTAGAATGAATAATGAAAAAAAAAAGTGGTGTTCTATTGGAAATAAGCCAGATTCATCCTCGGATTTACCCAAAAATTTTCAGAGTTTTATTCAACTCAGCATAATATTGAAAATGAATGGGTTACCTGAATGAACGTGAAATCATAAAATTCAGTACTATATCTTTATTGTTTCATTACAATTTTATCGATCTTTTTCTCCTGGTTATACAAAGTGTAATTCAATTGATGGTTAGAAATATAGGATGTAGACATTTTAAGAAAAGTTCATATGAACATAATATATGCCCTGAACCTCTTAACTTTAAAGCAATTTGGTGTTGAAATTTTAAGAAAAAAAAATTCTTATAGTAACTTTGATACTGTTCTAGATATTCTCATAAAATTTGACATGCACCTACTAAGCACTGATGGCCAGTTCGTGTCCGTATGGGATGTAAATACTGGAGATTTTTCTAAAAAATAAATGCAATTCTCATTCCTTTTGCAATAATTTGAGTTACATATTTGAAAATGATGAAACCATTTTGGCAAATTCAATCAACGACTTCACTTCAATAAAAATTAGACAAAAACACATCTTACCTACAAACTACACCACATTGTTTCAGTTGGTGCATGTCAAATTTCATGAGAATATCTAGAATAGTATGTCGAAGTTATCATAAGAAAATGCTTATTTTCATAAAAATTCCAACACCCTATAGCTCGGAAGTTGAGAGGTTTAGGGCATATGTTCATATCAACTTTTCTTCTCAAAATGAGCTGAGGAACCATGTCCTATATTTTTAGCCATAAATTGAATTACACCCTGTATAGTTTGAAATTAAATCCCTTCATTCCAAGATTGGATTCTAGTTATAATTAATTATATTATATCGTTCTCAACAAAACTGAATCAAAGTGAAGCAGTCCAGATAAATTTCTATTTATTTCATTGTAGTTGCCAAAGAAGAACTCTGTCATTGTTATTTTTCGCGTTCGAATAATTATTATTATAACACCTCTAGGTATACCGCTGGGTATACCCTCTAATCTAATACCTTTACAGCGCGAACCAGGTCATAAAATGCTAATGAGGGAAACGGTTCGTTCCTAGGCAATGAATAGTACATGTGCATAGACAAAAATATTTCAATTCGACCAAGAGTCGTTACTTTTAATTTGAGCACCACTGTACATTTTCTCGATTATACATTTTATTTAATATCTCCTAATTTTCATGTAGAGTGGCAACGTCGCTTCGTTCATCACGGTCGACTGCGGATCGCAAACGATAGTTGTGACAGAAGTAGAAATCTGGGCGGAAAAAGGGTATTTTGCCCCAAATCTATTTTGATCCTAATAATATTTCTAATAGTGCAATTCGGTAGTATACCTCAAGCTTTCTTAGTGTTTAAAATATATGCACCTATTTTAAAATCAGCCTGTATATGAATATATGAATAATATGAAATCAGGATTCAGCCAATTCGATGTGCTACCTATGGGAATGGCAATCTTTTCGAACATTCTCATTTCTAATCATACTTTTGACGTTCAAAGAAGTGTTTGAGCTGTACATCTGTTTATTTCTTCACCTATATTTTTCATTTGATTATTGATTGATCATATGTTCTTGAATGCGTATTGGTTTTGAAGCCACTATCGAATAATGAATTTGATAGATGAAACATGTTCATATAATTATTATGGAAAACTCAGGTCTGTTTTTGAGAACTTTCTTGTTGGCCAAAGCTCGAAAGGCATCAAAACTACAATATGTAGCATATGGTCGAAATCATAATGAATAGGGATTCGAATCTGATAAGAGATATGAGGAACGTATATGAAAAAATGAAAGTTGATGCTGGTTGCTCAGAGACAAAACGATGGATCAGAAAAACAATTATGCCATATTGAATAGTTTCAAAAGTTACCACTTCATTATTAACGGGAGAGAAAAAATAAAGAAAAAATTTAGATAGATAGATAGATAGATAGATAGATAGATAGATAGATAGATAGATAGATTTATTGTATTGAAAGAATTACAATTCTTATTAAAAGGATTGGGTGATCTGTGATTAATAATACATGAGAACTAATAGCTAAAACGAAAACAAAAATCTTTCGTGCGGGACCTAGATAGGCATTGAAACAATAATTGATATGCAAATTACTCATTCACAGCAAAAAATCTAAGCTTCAACAAATTGATCAGAACCTGTACTAGGAGTTTCAAGTCAGCTAGGCCACCGTAATTCAGAAGATATATTAAATCATCAAGAGATTCAACGTCTTGAAATAATCGACAATTCCTGATACCAGCATAAACTGGACATTCAAAGAGAATGTGTTCCAAAGATTCCGGTCTGTGGAGATTGCAAACAGTGCATTCTTCTTCAGTATTTATTCTATTCACTATTCGATTGGAGGTAATTCTAAAGAACGACTTACTGCATGTCCTTAGTTGAGCGATAATTCTAGTTATATAGATGGGAACGGGCGCTTTGAGGTAATTTTGAACATTTACCCGTAGAGAGAGACATTTATAAATGAGAGGATACGAAGATTGGCTCAAACTATCTAAATCAATGCTTAAAAGTTCATTGTTGAATTTGTGCAGAAGAGAAGTTATAGCTTTCTTGGAACTATTGAGCAGAAACTGTTGCCAACGATCGACCATTCCGGCAAAAGAGAAGTATTGTTTGACCTGCATTACCCAGTTATATTTAGGATCAACGTTATCGAGTCTGAGCAATCTTAAAAAACAGAGATAAAGAAAAAATTCAGAAATTCAGTTTTTCAAGAACGGAAAGTCATATCGGAGATTTTTGTTAATTTGTTGGATCTTCACTCGCCCAACTTTTCTCCTATTCGATCAAATATGTATCTCTTGTAGCTTCCGAGATTCCCATACTAGCCCTCCTGTTCTTGAACACAGTGTATAGATCGCGTTAACTCATAAAGATATACAGTGTACCCTGATGTATTGATGGAATAATTTCAAGACAGTAAAATATCAGTAAATTGAAACTTTCGACCATGAATATCTTGAGATCGGTTTCTTTACCGGGTACTTTACCCTTGTGACTTTTCGAATACTGCTTTTGATGACTAAGGTGAATAAGAGGGTACTAGGAACAGGTTAGGTTGAGGTAGGACATATCGATCAGAATAGTGAAAATACTAATGAATCGTGGTAAACTCAGAAAAACAGCTCAATTAGAAATGGCTTTTATCGAATTATTTTATGATCATTCATATACAGTATGAATATGGTTCATTGATCTGAAACAATTACGGTGTTCTTCGGAACAGTTGTGGTGTACGCCGAAGCGGTTACGGTGTTCTTTGCAGCGTTCTTCGGAACGGTTGTGGTATACGCCGGAGCGGTTACGGTGTTCTTCGCAGCGTTCTCCGAATGGGTTGTTTTGTACGCCGGAGCGGTTACGGTGATCTTTGCAGCGTTCTTCGGAACAGTTGTGGTGTACGCCGGAGCAGTTACAGTGTTCTTCGCAGCGTTCCTCGGGTTGGTTGTGGTGTACGCCGGAGCGGTTACGGTGATCTCAGCAGCGTTCTTCGGAATGGTTGTGGTGTATACCGGAGCGGTCACGGTGATCTTTGCAGCGTTCTTCGGAACGGTTGTGGTGTACGCCAGAGCGGTTACGGTGACCTCTGCAGCGTTCTTCGGAACAGTTGTGGTGTACGCCGGAGCGGTTACGGTGATCTTTGCAGCGTTCTTCGGGTTGGTTGTGGTGTACGCCGGAGCGGTTACGGTGTTCTTGGCAGCGTTCTTCGGGTTGGTTGTGGTGTACGCCGGAGCGGTTACGGTGATCTCAGCAGCGTTCTTCGGAATGGTTGTGGTGTATACCGGAGAGGTCACGGTGATCTTTGCAGCGTTCTTCGGAACGGTTGTGGTGTACGCCGGAGCGGTTACGGTGACCTCTGCAGCGTTCTTCGGAACAGTTGTGGTGTACGCCGGAGCGGTTACGGTGATCTTTGCAGCGTTCTTCGGGTTGGTTGTGGTGTACGCCGGAGCGGTTACGGTGTTCTTCGCAGCGTTCTTCGGGTTGGTTGTGGTGTACGCCGGAGCGGTTACGGTGACCTCTGCAGGGTTCTTCGGAACAGTTGTGGTGTACGCCGGAGCGGTTACGGTGATCTCTCCAGCGTTCTTTGGAACAGTTGTGGTGTACGCCGGAGCGGTTACGGTGATCTCTGCAGCGTTCTTCGGAATGGTTGTGGTGTATGCCGGAGCGGTCACGGTGATCTTTGCAGCGTTCTTCGGAATGGTTGTGGTGAATGCCGAAGCGGTCACGGTGATCACTGCAGCGTTCTTTGGTACAGTTGTGGTGTACGCCGGAGCGGTTACGGTGATCTCTCCAGCGTTCTTTGGAACAGTTGTGGTGTACGCCGGAGCGGTTACAGTGTTCTTCGCAGCGTTATTCGGTTTGGTTGTGGTGTACGCCGGAGCGGTTACGGTGATCTCTGCAGCGTTTTTCGGTACAGTTGTGGTGTACGCCGGAGCGGTTACGGTGGTCTTTGCAGCGTTCTTCGGAACGGTTGTGATGTACGCCGGAGCGGTTACGGTGATCTCTGCAGCGTTCTTTGGTGCAGTTGTGGTGTACGCCGGAGCGGTTACGGTGACCTCTGCAGGATTCTTCGGAACAGTTGTGGTGTACGCCGGAGCGGTTACGGTGATCTCTCCAGCGTTCTTTGGAACAGTTGTGGTGTACGCCGGAGCGGTTACAGTGTTCTTCGCAGCGTTCTTCGGGTTGGTCGTGGTGTACGCCGGAGCGGTCACGGAGATCTCTGCAGCGTTCTTCGGTACAGTTGTGGTGTACGCCGGAGCGGTTACGGTGATCTTTGCAGCGTTCTTCGGAACGGTTGTGGTGTACGCCGGAGCGGTTACGGTGATCTCTCCAGCGTTCTTTGGAACAGTTGTGGTGTACGCCGGAGCGGTTACAGTGTTCTTCGCAGCGTTCTTCGGGTTGGTTGTGGTGTACGCCGGAGCGGTCACGGTGATCTCTGCAGCGTTCTTCGGTACAGTTGTGGTGTACGCCGGAGCGGTTACGGTGATCTTTGCAGCGTTCTTCGGAACGGTTGTGGTGTACGCCGGAGCGGTTACGGTGATCTCTGCAGCGTTCTTTGGTGCAGTTGTGGTGTACGCCGGAGCGGTTACGGTGACCTCTGCAGGGTTCTTCGGAACAGTTGTGGTGTACGCCGTAGCGGTTACGGTGATCTCTCCAGCGTTCTTTGGAACAGTTGTGGTGTACGCCGGAGCGGTTACGGTGTTCTTCGCAGCGTTCTTCGGGTTGGTTGTGGTGTACGCCGGAGCGGTTACGGTGATCTCAGCAGCGTTCTTCGGAATGGTTGTGGTGTATACCGGAGCGGTCACGGTGATCTTTGCAGCGTTTTTCGGGTTGGTTGTGGTGTACGCCGGAGCGGTTACGGTGATCTTTGCAGCGTTCTTCGGAACAGTTGTGGTGTACGCCGGAGCAGTTACAGTGTTCTTCGCAGCGTTCTTCGGGTTGGTTGTGGTGTACGCCGGAGCGGTTACGGTGATCTTTGCAGCTTCCTTCGGAACAGTTGTGGTGTACGCCTTTGCGTTCAAGTTCTGTCCGAGATCCTTACGAACTACTACCGTTCTGGATATTGAATCTGCAACAGATAATAAAGTAATTTCATCATTTCACAAGCAGGTTTCCTATTTCAACTTCAATAATTTGAACACAGAATGAGTCAATATTTTTAAAGGGTGATTCCTAAGTTGATATTTGTTTCAACTGTGTATAAAACTCGTTGAAATAAACAGCTTTTTGAATCAAATTCTCTCCACAAGGGTGTACAATAATCGAGATTCAGATTAGAAAGAAAAACACTTTGCATGTGAATCAAGACGGTCAAACGTTTCAGAAATCGACACATTTTGCGGGATTTCGTTGCGCTCAAGAATTTCTACTGCTACAAGTGAGATTGAACATTTGAATGAAATATACCAGGACTTGTTAGTATCATGAACATATTTCTTCTTGTGAATGTGAACAGATTTGATGGAGAAATGAAACCTGCAAAATTTGGTCATTCATTAGTGATTTGTTGTTTTTTCAGGGGTAATAAGAAAGATGCCAAAAAAATGTGTAAGAAGACCTGATGCCGAAATACGCGGTGATTACCATCTAGAAAAATATAAAAAGAGTCCTTAATCGTTTTTTGAATGGTTCAACAAATAAAATGTGTTTCTAGCATATCCGCTGTTTTCCGTGGTAGACATATTTCCGACCAAATTTGAAATTTCAAGAAACTGATTGGGCACACTTTGGTTTAATCTTGTATTTTCCCACGCAAACAATGTGGAATCAATGGTTTTTGAGTTGTTCCTCGTCATTTCACTGAATAATAATTATATGGAAATCCTCTAGTGTTTTCAATCCCTCTTTCTCCAATTTTAACTTCTTCATATTTTTTTTCCTCAGACACTAAAAGCAAACGCACCATATTTTACTTGCCACGTTTGAAATGGCTGAAAGTATAGTCGAGTGAGTTTAACCAAAAAAGCAACAATGTTGGAAGAGAGAAGGCGATGAAAATTTTCTTTTCACGTAACATGAAATTCGATCTGTCATCAATGTGATCCAGTCTTAACTTCTGAGGGAAATGAGAATCCAAGAAAGACTGAAAAATAACTAGTATATGTATATTCAAAAATTTTATTCCGTATATTTTTGACCACCATATTTAAGTTGGACAGGACCGTATTGGACACGTTTTGTGATGATTCAACTTCTATATTTCTCAGTTATTGGAAAAAAGTTTTTTAGAGAAGTTACTTCAAATAACTATACAGAGATAAAACGAGTATCAACTCAGGAATCACCCCTCTGCTGAGCAGTGGCGGCTCGTGACTTTCATGACAGAGGAGGCTGAATGATGAGATTTATTGTGAAAAACAACTCTCTACTCACCCAAATCAATAGCTTCAATGACATTCTGTTTACCAGTTAACCTGAATTTAATATTTGAAGAGATGTGTTCCTGTGATTTGCAGTGTCTATCCAATCCGCGAGGCAAATTTTTCAAATCATTATATCCTAATCGTCCCCAACATGATGATTTATCGGTTGAAAATAATACGCAGTACCAACAAAATAGCTTATTCCTTACCTCAGATCCCGTCAGCCAGATATATTTTTTATAATTATCAGAATTGAATGAACGATTTTGTTTGTTACCTGTTACAATCAGATTTTTCAATGTCGGTGTCGGACGTTTGTTTTTCACAATCAATTTATCTTCATAGGACAAGGCACTGAATGGGTTCACCAAAAAGTATTCCACTAAATCGCAATCGTTTTTAAGACACTCATTTTTCCGAAATTTATAGAGCCCCTAACCAATAACCTAACATAAACACTGCATTCGCGATCGACTGTCCGCAATTCGCGTCGCGACACGACAACAAACACGTGCTATTCGGGGATTTACATGTGATTTACATTGCGCGATGCGCGCGTTGGTTGCGCAATGTGACGGAGTCTAGCCTCCTATAGATGTTGCCAAGTTGAATATTTTACGCGTGATTTACAGCATCAACGTGTGATGCGTGGGCAAGCACTGTTGCCAATTCAAAAATATTTACCTAAAAACAGGAAATAAAATCAAAATCTATGTATTTTGGTGTCCTTTAAATGAGAAAGTATAGATAATATCAGTTTAAGGAAAATCTCTGAGGAGGCTCAGCCTCCTCTGCCTCCTCTGAGGAGCCGCCACTGCTGCTGAGTTGAAATAAGAAATAATTCATGTATATTCATGAATCTAATATGAAATCATGATCCCAACTTATGAGAAAATTTCCTGTGACAATTTTCGCATTTGTTGTGAAAATTACATATTTCTGGAGAGTCATAGGTATATTGACGCAAAAGAAGCATACTGAATCCAAGGTAAATGATTGTATATTTCACTTCGCACGGATGTCATACTTTTTTTTCCGTGGGAGTAAAGTGACGCAGCATTTTTTCCTCAGATGAGAGTGCAAACGTCAACTTTGATTTATTGAGTAGATAATAGCTTCCATGATGTTAGTGTTGAAAGTGCTATTTTCTCTTGTGATGAGTGTTTTTTACTACGGGTTGAAATGAATATGAAATCAAACACCCTTAGGTATAGATTACTGAGTATATTGAGAAAACAACGTAATCGTTACATGGCTTATGACATGCTGGTGATCGAACTTATTCTACAATATTGAACTTTCAACACTTCCTGTAAAATTGCCAGAATTGCTGAATAGTCGTATTCAATAATGTCAATGTACCTGTACATCATACAACTTACAGAGATCAATAACATGAATTCATCGCATGCAATGACATAATAATAATGAGGAAGTTTCCTTCGAACAAAAATTCCATAATTTTGAGTTTTCCGTGAGATTCTCTTTCAACAAGCATGATATTACGGAAATTATGGAAAGTTTTTGACGTTTATAGGTGAAATGACATCAACATTCAGCTTCAATTTATGACGAGTTCATTCTATAAGTTGAAGAGTTTCTGGTGTGAAAATATATTTCCACTAACTTCTGCTAAATTGATTCGTAAAAACTGGGATATTGACCTGGCATCGACTCATTTTTCGATAGTTCATCCAACTCAAATCGTTTAATTACATTTTATTCAACCTTATAATATTACGTGAGCAAATTTTATAAATTATAAATAGTGAATTGTATATTTCAATTAACTTTAGTAAAATGAATTTGTTTCGAACATAGAAGTTGTGTTGCTACTTAAGTTCTATTATTTCGTGTAGCTTAAGATGTTTGATTGTGTTTTTTTTATTCAAATAAATAAAATGGCATTTAACGTACCTACAGATATGTACCACGCTAAATAATCGATCAATTAGGTACAGATTGATGATCTGTGATTTATTCAAAAAAATTAACATATTACCATGGCAACACAATTTCTTAAACACATTACCATGGCAACAGAGTTTTCCAAATACATCTCCAGTCGTTAGAGTCTTGTCTGACCTGTCAGTTGTAGGAACTGTCAACTGTCATTTTCGAATTTTGTTGCAATCAGAATTATTCGAACAATTTCTGTTTGTATCAGAATTCTTCATTAAAATGTATGCGAAATGTAGCCGATAGTGAAATAGAATAGAATGTTTTAGTTGGGTACTTGCATATTACCAAGAAGTCTTTAGGTGAAAATTATGCTCTCATCTTTGTGGTTAATTCATTCTATGCTAAACATGTCAATAAACGTGAAACACAATATTCATGTGAGCAAAATTAGGCAATCAGAATATGAATATGAATCTGAGGAATCATCAACTGTGACACGTCAGCGAATCGAAGAGTTTTCATCTACTACGTTAGATGAAATTTTATTAACAAATGTCAGTGAACAAGCCATTTCGATAGAAATTCATGTAGTTATTTCTACCTCCACAGTCGGTTATCGTGCAAAGTAGTAAGTATATGGAAATTACTATCAGTAACCGCAATATGCACTTGAGCTCATACTTCCAAATTCAACATCCAGAATCAATTTTAAAGTGATTTTTCAATGTTAAAATTTAATTCAAAAATTAGGTACCACTCAATGGGCTTATATCACAATAGTATATTATTCGACGAGCGTGTAATGATGGCTATTACTCATGAGAATGAAGTTTGCGACGTGAGCCGCAGGCGAACGTCGTAATCATTCGAATGAGTAATAGCCATTACACGCAAGTATAATACTATACTTTTTCTATGACTGAGTGATGAACTGGTTGAGTTCATCAGCAGTGACTATCTTAGCTTTCTTTGACATATATCCATCAGATTTCCTTTTTAGAAATGCTCGTAATTTCAAATATTTGTCAATATTCACATAATTTTTTATTGAAATTGTGCTTCTTAGTATATGCATGGAATACTGCGACCACAAGGAGGATGCTTTGTGTTTAGCTGCTAATTCGCCAAAATAGGCTAGCAGTACATTATCCGAAAACGAATTTGCAAGTTTTGCTTTTCGCCAAACCACTTCATACCTTTTTTTAGATTCCTCGGGCAAAAGGCTGATTGTACTTGAATTGGCAGCTTTCAAAACTTCTGATGGTGGAGAGCAGTTGAATTCATTTTCGCTTTCTGAATCCATATTTGCACAAAAAGTCAGTTCTAAATCACGCCAGATAGCTATTGTCAAATTATGACATTTCATGACGAGTCTGATTCAAACGTTTCACTGCATGCCCCATATTATCGATACAACTGGTGTCAACTGTTTTGTAGGTAATGAATCTGCTTTGTTGCTGATTGGCCATAGCCTGTTGTGTAAAGGCTCTTACACACGGGGCGTGGCTTGTTTTGTGTAATGCATCCAGTTACCCAACAAAAATGTTACATTAAAAGGGTCTAGTTTTCAACAGTCATAGAAAAAACATTTTATTTCATAATTCGATAGAGCTCGCCCAAACTAGCTCACCGCCGCTAACCGTTTCTTGCTGTGAGCTCCCTACGTTTTATAAAAAATTATTGAAATCCCTGACTTTTCGGACCTTTGAAAACGAGACGATGATGTGACGTCAAAACCCTAATACTGATACAAGACTATTCCAGACAGAGATGAATGATACATGATTTCTGATAGAGTGAATTAGCGCGAGATCACAGTTGAAAGAATTAATATATCAGTTGCCTCAGTCTCCGTCGGGCGTTTGGTATTTTCTTTTAACTATGGCGAGATGAGGTTTCTACGTCATGAGAGGGTCCGTTTTCAGAAGGTACTATTATTTATGTCCAAAAATAAAACATTCCAGTTGATTTTCCGATCGAATTATGTCGTCAATCATTATTTATGTATAAAATAATCATTATAAACATGGTTTGAGTAAAAAGTTCTACTAAGGTGTACACACCCATTATTCAGTTAGTTTTTTCAGAATCATCTCCATCATAATATCTATAATAATAATCATAATAAAAATAATAATAATTATTGGAATAAAAAACTCACCATTTGCTAATAGCACCACCAAAAAGAGAAGAACCAAGTATTTCATGATGAGTCTGTTTATCGTATCTGCCGATATTATCCAAACTAACAATATCTTTAGCGGAAAAATTCGATATATATATACACGATTAATAACTTTTATCAATTCCATCGATAGATAATAGCAATGTCGAGTGCATATTGAAGGGGCTTATTTCTTGGCTTATTCTGGAACTGAAAAATTCAATATAGTTTCGTTTTCGACATAGGCCGTCAAAGTTGAAAATATGCATAGATGCTCATTTATTCCACCCTGAAACAGTTAAATGTGAACCTAGCTTCCTGGAGATGATTGTACATTGAAAAATAAGTATAGTTTGATGAATAAATTAGTATCCCAAAAAGGAGAAATTTGTTTCCAAAGTTGATAATTTTGAAATATATTTTTTCCCTCATTACTTCTGAACTGTGGAATGGAATTTCTTGCATGATAAAATACATTCTTCTGTTACACTTCTACAATAATTCTGATATTGATGATCAACTTATAACCTCTTATACACAATTTATATGATCATAAAAGCTTGTCGCACGATTACCTGTGTGAATAAACCAGTTCGCATTTAATTTTGTAAAATCTGCTGAGTTTGAATTTTTGATATGCCAACTTAAAAAATATTGTTCATTTCGATAAGCTCTTATGATCATATGCATTCTGTATCATGAGGTTATTAGTTGATAGTTAGAATTAGAAAGGAATATTGGTAAGTTTTATTTTTATATCATGCTCTCTTTCTGGAAATTCAAGAGATTTCGACGTGGCAAATAGCTAGGATAGTAGTTATTTACTGTTGAATATTCAGAATGATATTATGTGCATATCTTTATATGAAGGAGAATGCAAATTCCCTACTTAGATTATGTTTTCAAATTCTTATCGTGTGTGTTCAATAGATGTAGTTCAATGTTCGTCGTGGCATATAGCCAGGAAAGTAGTTGTTTTCTGTTGAATAAACCGAGAAAGAATCAATATTTTCATCACATGGAGAATGCGAATTCGCAATGTATTTATTCTTATATATATCCATTTTTTGTGTTCATAAATATATCTGAGAATATTCCTTAGATATACACGGTTAAAATTTTTGAGTTGATTTTAACTCCAGGTCCACACAACTTTGAGTCAACATAGGTCAACACCGGATTGTGTAATAATTTTATTGCTATACCCTTTCGATTGTACTGACACAAAATTTCTCAGAAGTATGAAAAATGTTCGGGAAATCATATACATCATTTTGACTGACATTCATAAAGATTTGAGATCCTGATGAAACTAATTGTAAATTTATATTTTGACGAAAAGTTTCACTCAATTGAAATTTTTACCGTGTACTCATCCTTGAAACATTACAATTATAATTTTCTGACATCACCTAAGGTCTTTAGATGAGTTAACTATCGATCATGATGGTCACCTAGATGCAATGTTAATAGTGATCCAAAAAAATGAGGTAGGCGTAAAAACTTCTGAAATCGTCATATTATCATCCAGAATTGTCTCAGAAATTCAAAAATGTTAGAATATACACGGTGTTTCATTTAAAAATTCAAAACAGGAATATACCAGGAAGTGAGAGATATGCGAAAACTTTCCACTTCACATACGCATATAACCATATTAGATTTCATTTTGATACAACCAATATTCTAGAAGTTATGGCTTGTCTAATAGATTCGCACGGTAATAATCTTGGGAGCAAAAGTTCACTGTCCATTTCCTCCCATGTGTCTTTGATGCCCTTCGATACTCGTCGGACATCAAACTTAACACGTGGGAGGAAATTGATACCTTTGCTCCGCCCTTGATATACAGGGTGTCCCGAAATTAGCGTGTCGAACGTCATCAGCGTCTTTAACGATCAAAAATAGGGAAAAAAGTTTCAATAAACATAAGACGAGAAATGTTTCCTAAAGGAGCTACGGCCTCCTGGAAGTGGGCGTCTGAAGATGATATTTCTTGGATATTTCCGAAACGCCACCTGATAAAGAGATGCAATTCGATACAATAACTAAACTCTTCATGCCCAATGCAGGGAAGATACAATTATTTCAAAATTTCACTCAGTAGTGTATAATACACGGTGGGACTACATTGAATATTGCTCAAAATATCTTGTTTGTATATTCTTCGACAATTTAGTCTATAATTATGAAAATGCACACTTCTTCACAGAAAAAATGTGCTCTTGATCCGGTGCGATCATATGTATGATTATCGAGTAAAAGCGATTCAAGAATGTTACATCTCAGATATTATACATAACATTGCAGATGAGTTGTAGTGAAAATGAAAAAAAAACACACAATTGCAGTTTTTTCATAATCATTTTCCTATTTTTCGTGCTTTTATGGGATTGTTTGGTGATAAGAAAGTAGCTGATTTTTTTATAGCCCCTATGATCTGCAAATCGGCAACGTTATGCATAAGATGTGAGTGTATCAATATTTTTAAGTCGATTTCACTCGAAAATGATATATCTAATCGATGCGGAACAGGATCACCTTTTTTTCGTAAAACGGAGTGGATTTTCATAATCCGAGATCGAATTGTCGAAAAATATGCGTACAAAAAAGTATGAGCAATATTGTATGTAGTCCCACCCTGTATTATACACTCTCTTGAATGAAAATTTGGGATGATTTTATGTTGACCGCATTGGGCATGGAAAGTTTAGTTCTTGTACCAAATCATTTTATTTACAACTATATATGTAATGTCATCATAACTGACGTTTAAAAAGTCTGAAACTGACATATTACCTACTTCCACTTCCCACCCTCAGGTGGGAAATTTTCCACCCGTGAGAGGATTTTTTTCTGAATGTATTGAAAGAAGATGTCTTTCTTTAAGTTTTTAAAATAAGAAGTTCATGTACCTATTTGATTTGATTGAGACTTATGAGCACACTTGACAACATTTTAGCACTTCTTGAGTTCCTTTGGGATTAGTTGAA